AATGTACATTAATATAAAATTTCAAATTTGAATATTAATTACTGAAGGTTACCTTGGGTCAGCATGTGTGACTTTACAAATTTCAAGAGTGTTTTTAATGACAGTGTCAATATTTCCAAAGTTGCAAATTCCGAGAATTGAGGTCCTCATCACAGCTCCATTGGGGGCTAGGAATTTGTTGCTGCATTCCCACACATACTTGGCAGACTATAACATCGCAAGATTAAAAAAAGATACCAAAATTTAATTGGGTCAAAGAAAACTGATGAGTAATAAACTTAAGTTAATATTTGATTGAATTTCTTATTTTTAAAGTTATTATTAGGTGGTTAGTTACATACCTTGTGAGGGTCAGTTGTGAAACTAGAATGGAACAAAACCATGGCGGTAGTTTTACCTATACCCGATCCACAAATATCGCCTAACTCCTTAAAGCCTTCTTTAGCCCAGGTCAGCATCCTGGCTGCAAAATCTGTCACCACAATCTGCCATAAACATAAACGATTGTATTAATATCACCATCATCATTAAAATTCTAATAGTAAAGGTAATAAAATGATACTACCATATTGGTAAGACTTTCGCAACTCCTTCGAGCACAGTAGTGAAGAACAAGGGTTGTGAAAAGAAGGACAATTATTGATGACATAATTTTTATATCAAAAATAATTAATAAACAATAATAACAACAATAATAATAATAATAATGAAAATAAGTGTAAGCTTACCTGTCCTTTGTTTTCTGTTAATGATTGCATAATTAGAATCATCTGGTCACTATCATCTGTCCAATCAGCTACAGGGAAGTGGTGCTGGTGTTGAAATGTCCTCGGTATCAATGTTTTTGAAGTGTATTCCAGAGGCTTAGTTGGATATGCCTACCGGTAAACAGTATTCGAGAAAGCTTAATAGCAAGATTTGAAAACTCAATGTAACTCATAGCCAAATTGTAAACTTGTAAGCTCATAGTTAAATCATACTAACCATGTAACAGACTCAAGAGAAAAATATTAGTCAAGATGTCAAACTTGAAGTCTAGTCAAGATAGCAAACTCGGCGTAAAATTTGTAGCAGTAGCAAACTCAAGGCACATTGATAGAAACCTGTTGATGTGTTTCAAAAGCATTTTACGAGTTAGCCAGCCCAGGCCTCCCAAATTTTTGAATTAGCACAAATTAGTGAGGAAATAAAAGTACATTAAAATTTAACTCTGAGAGTGCCTTTTCCAGCCCGCCAGAAAGCCAGGCATAACATTTTGCACCTGTGCCCCACCCACTGTAGGCCTGAGGTAGTCTAGAAAAATGCCATTCGCTTCGGCTGTGAACCAGTTAGGCCGCGATGTATTTCACATCCAGAAAATCAGAACCTTATTACACATGTGTTTTGCTTGTCTTATTAATATTCAAATATATACTATCCTCACTTTACAAATAAGTAGGCTAATCATACCAATCATAAGAGAGAATTTTAAGTTTAAAACTTAGACTTATGCTTGTTTATGTTATGCCTGGCCTAGTCCACACAGTTTTTGTATTACTTTTAAGTCAATACGCATATTTGTTATATTATAATTATAACATACTAATAACAGTAAGATACCACATGTAATAAAGCAGGGTCTACGCAAACACTGTTACATTGTAGAGTATGACTTTGTATGTAAGTCTATAGATAATAACAGCCTGGAGTTGTATTCCTTGCATATGCCCGAGTGTGTTAATCAAATCAAACAAAAGATTTCTTGATTACCAACTTTACATCAGATCAACATGAAAAAAAAATTTTTGATGGTATCACGAATTAAAGAAAGAAGAAAATCTAGCCACCAAACTGAAAAAAAGTTAGTTTTAAAATGTGCAAAAAATATTGCTGTTTTCTATGCTTCATTAAAGAGAAAAGAATATATTGAAAGTAATAAAATTACATTTACAGATAGTGGTAGATTATTTATATATACCAAAGAGTATGATAAATTAACAGTCCAAGAGAGAGAAAAATATAGAAAAAAGTGGATAAACAAACAAAGAGCAAAATTAAGCGAGGCAAAAAAATTGGCAGAATTAAAAGCCTACAAATATGTTAAACGACCAAGATATAGTTTAGTCAAACAATGGCAAGAAGTACCACCACCTTAAGGAGCCAATTCAAAATTTCATCAAATAATGCTTCATCAGTATCATTTAAGTTTTTTCTTTAATACTTAAATTTAAAAAATATATATGAAATGCAGTATTGAAGAACAACTGTTTAAAGAGGAATTAACCTTCATTGAAAAATTATTTTTAGATCTGTTTTTCAAACTACTGTACAGTATTAAATGCAGGCCATGCCCTTTCATATTACAGTTGCTGATACAGTTATTACATTTCAAAAAAATCAACATTGTTTATTATAAAACAATGTTTCAAAATGTTGATTGTCCTACTGCACTACTATAAAATCTCAAATTGAAGCCCTGGGTTTCTTTATTTTTTTTTTTTGCAAATTTTCAATGGTGTTTTTTTTTTAGCTACTTTTGCAAAGGAAGNNAAAAATGCTGTAAATTTGGTGAATTTGTACTATAATAACACAATAAATAAGGCCACTGTAACATCGATCTGTATCATGGAGTGTATATTAACTGGCATTAAATCATGTAAACTATGTACTGTATAAACCAAGCTTGTTTTTAATTTATTTTGGTTTTTGAAATTCAGGTACAGTGTATGTACTGTACTATTTCGAAAAAAAAAGGTCTATGCTACCTTGAAAAGAAGCCCAAGGGCTTTTTTTTTCGAGATGGGCGTCTTTTCGAGGCTAATTTTGCAAACTAAAAAATGGGACTTCAATTTGAGATGGGCTTCATCTCAAGATTATTAGCCCACTGGGCTTCAATTCAAGGTTTTACGGTATTTGTAATTGACAAATACTGGATATTAGCTTCCATGCTACATTATGGATACTGCTACACCTTATTATTTTATATAAAATCTTTTAACAATTTCAATTTGTGTTTAAATACCTGTAGTTTCAACAGTAGCAGTAGTAGTAGTTTTGAATATAGTATTCAAGAGCATCACTTTTGATATTTTTTGTAATTACAGTAATTTGTTATCTTTATTAATAGTCTTAATAAATTATATATTGAACCAAGTATGAACATCTACATTATTGTAAAGCAGTCTATCTAGCCTACTGGTTAACAATTATTGTTTGTTATTTTAAATAAAATGCAGCAGAAAATAAATGTTATTTTATTGATTTGAAATATAACCTGAGTCATCTTTTACACTACAGTACTGAACATACGGGTGATGTTACAAAATTTTAAGTGCTATTTACTACAATTTAAAAAAAAATTGATATTATTTAAATATAATTTTGTAAATAACAGAAGCGGTAATGTAAATTAAAGTTCCGTGTTTCAGTCCCGGTGGATGCAGATTTATATTCTTCTGCGGCATTCAAATTTTGCATTATTTAGATTGTGGTTCATACTTTTGGTTTTTCCCATTACCTTATTATTTATTTTCAGAAAAATTATTGTAAAGCTCAGCACTAATAATTTTGCTAATTTCTCATTTCTGTACTCACTGATTTTTGAAACAATAAATTACACACTGGAAATATACATTGTATTGTAGATAAAAAAAATACAGTGCCAAACCTCAATTTTACATACCTACCTTATTTTCACGAACAATTGATTTTACATACGCCTGGATTTCTAAAATGTGACAAATTACAGTTTACTCTTTTATAATAACAATAATAATATGCAGAAATTTATAACGCGCCAATTCAAAATACATAGTCAAACGCGCAGTGAACAATTAACCCAATTAAAATGATTTTGTAAACAAAAAAGTTTTCAAATTAGTTTTAAATGAGTTTAAATTTGAAGATTGTCGAACAGAAAACATTTTATTTACTGTACATTAATTGGTAGACTGGGTTCCAGTCCCTAAACTGTGTCTTAATCAGTAAAAAAGCTGGGAAAATCGATTTTGGCATCAATGGCGTTCCATATTACGTATTTGCTTGGCATTTCATAGTATACTTTTTCTTGGATTAGGATCTAATTCGCATCAAAAAAAGTTTCTTGACATCAACTGACGCTGGTGGCGCTTTCAGAAATGTGCTAATACCACGAAAAATCATTAAATTAGAGACTTAAGTCTAATTAATTGGGTATTTTAAACATTACAATGCCAGGATTCAACAATAAGGATAATAAATAATGAACAAAGTTAAAAATTTACCCTAACTTATTTTTACGATTCCCATAAAGTATGTCAAATCAAGGTTCTACTGTAAAAACACAAACATGGTACAAGTCCATACAATAAACGTTCTGTGAATATAATAGCAACACTGGATGCAATAAATCTAACAACAATGTACCAGTGTTTTTAAGTAATGTTTTGTGTTTATTTTTTTTTTAAATAAATAATTGTATTTTTAAAATGTGGTTTTATATTATATTTTTATAATTGTTACATGTTAGATAGATACAGTATATCTTTACATTTGCTTTACATCTTTATCTGAAAATTGGTCATATTGTTATGGTTAAATAGTGGATTTTCTTTCTGTACTAATAAATACTGTACATGGAAATTATGCTGGTGTTATTTTGAATTTGATTTGTTTCACAAAATACTTTAGTTCATAACTTACTATAGTCGATGAGATATTTTTAGTTTCTCTGCAGTATGTTCTGAATTAAAACTAACTTCAATTTCAAAAAATGTATGGCTTTATAATAAATTTGTTTCTGTATTATTAAAACACAACAAACTTAAACACACTAAAGCTTAAAGTAGTTCCAGCATGGTTCCAGTGAACTGTCAACTGGTAAAGATTTATTACCTATATTTGATCATGATCTGACCACAAGGAAGCTCTGGCCTACCATATCTGTCAAATGGGTATAGTAATTAACAGAAGGTCATCTAAAGGGGTTGAAGAGCCACAGGAGAGTGGAACCTCATGTTAATCAAAATTGACTGAAAACACACAATACAAAAAGTGTTCCATACATCGTGGCCAAACTTGTTCGCAGATGAAACGGTCCTACACTGTCTGGATCCCTCATCTGTAAAACTGCCTTTC